ATCAAAGTCCATAGAATCCATTCAAACCGCATCATTTACTTGTTATAATTTTGGTGGATAACAAAGTTGATGTGTCTCTTCTTCTTTTTTAAATTTTATATAATATGAATGTTCATTTCACTTCTAGGGTATACTAATAAAAATAAGTTAAATACATATTTTAGTGTTTGAGTGGAATAATAACACTATGTAACAATATTCCAAATACACCGAAATCTCTATCTTTTCGTTTGTTTGAAAAAGAATGAAAATAATTCAACAAAATTTTCCCTTTTGTTAAACATTGGAGAGGATGATCACTTAGAACTAGCAGCTCAAGTAAAAGTTGGGGTACTCGGTAGTCTGCCTTGGTCCATAACGAGCCTTTAGTTACTCATTGATCCCTAAATTAATGTAATCGTGATGCACGTTTTGGATTAAATTATACGACAAAGAGAAGAACAAGAATAAATATTTTATTTCAAATAAATATCAGTTTCTTGAGGCAAACTTTTGCTTTGTCTTTATCAAGGCCAAATCACCAAACAGACGCTAATAACAAGCTTCCAGCTCTCTGGTATATGCTGCTTAATTTCCAGAACCAACTAACGAAACATACATTGCATATATAATCTATGGCTTTACAACCGAATGAGCAAACACAGGCAAGTTCTTCAGTCTGCTTTTCGAATTTTCGGTTTACATTCATTCTATATTTGTATACATTTAAACCAGGACGCTGTTGAGAATATAATTCTACGTGCAAATGTGTATATAATAGTCATGCTGTAGATTGTATAGCATTTTTGGTCCCCTCAGTTTATACCAATTGATTCTGGGAGATGATTAAGGTTTATCATGCTATTCGAGTCTGGCTATATATGCTTTACACCACAATATATAAGATCTTAGACATGCTGCAATACATGCATGTTGCATAACAACACCATTTTACAATAGAGTAATTGAGAAGCATACAGACGTGAGGCAACGAAGAAGCAAAGAAATTAAAGAGAAGAATTGAATCCCAGAATATGTTTGATGAGCTAAAATAAAACACATGCCGGGATTTTGGATTCTGGGTTTGAGTCTGAAATAACGTGGGAATTGTAACCTCTCGCTCGAGGTGGGTTACAAAGGCGGTCGATGCTCACGCGGTCTTCTTCTTTGATTAATTTGGCCATCAATCTTCTTCTTCTTCTTTGATTTGGCCGTCAATCTTCTTCTTCTTCTTTGATTTGGCCGTCAATCTTCAGTGGGAGGTGGGTTGAGCAGTTCATATGAATCATATCTGATTTTCAGGGGTTACGGTGGTGGCTTGAGGAGCGGGGATTGCTGGTTTAAGAGGTGGTGATTTTTTCTTTCTTTTTATTGAGCTAGCAGTTTCACTATTCCCACCCTAGAGCAAGCTCGGTTGACTTGTCTGCATCAAATAAGGGACAAAATTCCTAGCCTATCCACTCCAACCCTAGTCTAACCAATTCGAAATACTAAATCCAACCATGCCGGGCCACCAGACGCCCTTAGCTATCCCTTCTAGCAAACTTATTAACCTCTTTACCAGTCTCCTAACAACTTTCATAAGTTGGATTAATCTCCCCTATTCAACTTAAAACGAATCTCCGCTACACATGTGTCAATAATTTTTTACTTTACTACTAGTTGATTTTGCTTAAGATGTTCAAATTGTTTTTGTATTATCTTAGTGGACCATGTATTGTGTGATGCAAATTATGATAAGTTGAAATGTTACGAATGGCTATGGCGCAAGCGTTTATATTTCATGGAATCAGAAAATTGCAGCTAGCTTGCGTTCCAAGTCAAACTCTGATTTTCATAAAAGTTGCATGCATTTTACGCTTCAATGTATTTCCCAGTTGAGTAATACTATTCATATCATGTTTTTATACCACATTTTTATATCACCTTAGGTGACATCTGATGTGGACAGCCACATCATTTGAAAAATTTGCAAAACTCAAGAAAATAAAGGAGAAGAACTTCTTGTATATCATAATCATCATTTAATTAACTAATTTTTCTTAATTATTAGTTTATTAAATAATGAACTAAATTTAAAAATCTGATTAATTCAAATGATGTGGCTGTCCATATCAAATGTCATCTAAGATGATATGAAAATGTGGTACAAAAACATGGTATAAATAGCATTACTCTTCCCAGTTTAATTTATGTTACATTAATTATAATTCTTTGGCTTCTTTTAACTCGGATGACCAGGTTTTGGTACAAGAGACTTTGTCCGTGAGGACATTGACGCTAAACAGGCCTCGCCAACTGAACGCCCTTTCCCTTGAAATGATTGCTCGGCTTTCCGAATTATTACTTGCCTATGAGAACAATGCCAATGTCAAATTGATCATTGTCAAAGGTAACGGACGAGCATTTTCTGCCGGCGGTGATTTAGCGACTATTCACGGCCATTTTCTTAAAGGAAATTTGAGATTTGGCGCAAGAGTTAGTCAGACGCTGCTTACCTTGACCTTCTTGATAGCAACACTCAGTAAACCACAGGCATGCCTTTTATTTTTCAGAGAGTTTTAACATACTTTATTTATTTTGCGACTCAAAGTCTTTACATAATTAACTTACTTTCTCTTAAAACGATCGATCTTTTGTTGTTTATATTTCTGTTGACCTTCATGTTTAATTCGCCAACAGGTTTCATTTCTTAATGGGATTGTGATGGGAGGTGGTGCTGGTATTTCAGTGCACGGAAAATTCCGTGTAGCAACTGAGAATTCAGTCTTCGCAATGCCGGAAACAGATCTGGGATTCTTTCCCGATGTTGGTGCCTCTTATTTCTTGTCAAGACTTCCTGGATTTTTTGGTGAGTATTTGGGTCTTACAGGTGCAAATTTGGATGGTGCTGAAATGCTTGCATGTGGCCTAGCGACTCACTATGTGCCCTCAGCCAAATTGTCTTGACTGGAAGAAGCTTTGACATGCCGAGTAGCTTCATCTACTTCATCAATCTGTGATCTTGCTTCTACTGTTTCAGCAATTATAGATGAATACTCGCTGAAGAAACCAGCTTTGAGTGAAAAAAGTGCTTACTACAAAAAGGGTATTATTGACAAGTGCTTTTCTAAACCGACAGTGGAAGAAATTTTAAGTGCCCTTGAGGAGGAACTTACTAAGGCAAACACTAGGGCTGGTGATCATAAAGAATGGTTAGCTGCAGCAATTCAATCGCTGAAGAAGGCATCGCCAATGAGTTCGAAGATTACTTTAAGATCCATTAGGGAAGGCAGGGTGCAAGGAATCGGTGAATGCCTCGTTCGCGAGTACCGAATAACTTGTCATATTCTGCAAGGGGAGATCAGCAAGGACTGCAGAGAGGGTTGTAGAGCTACTTTGTGGGACAAGGATAAGAAACCAAAATGGAAGCCTTCTAAGTTGGAGCTCATCAGCTGATGATATGGTTGAGCACTACTTCTCTAAGCTGGATGGTGATGATAGAGACTGGAAAGAATTAAAGCTCCCTACAATATCCAAATTGCCTGTATTTGCCAATTCCAAGCTTTGATCAGCTTATGATTTCATGTGTTTTCAATAACATATCTTTATTATGTAACCTTGGACATAAACTTTGATAGTTATAGTGCAATTAATTAAGAAGTTAAAACTTTGATGATTACAGTGTAATTAAGAAGTTAAATAATATTTGAGTTAACTACATTTCACACTATTCAAGTTTGGAGTGATTTTAAAAAATGGCCATAAATTTTCAATTTTCTCATTATGCACCATTGGTATTGAAAAATGTAAGCTACATTTGCACCACATTGACAGGAAAAAAAAAAAAAAAACTCATTAATTTTGGAAGATTAGACTTTTAAAGAAACAAAAGGTGTAAATTGATATAAATGTCAAAACTTTAAGGTGCAATGTGAGAAATTTAAAAACCCATGATCATTATAAAAATCACAACACCTGAAAGTACATGGATTATTTTAAAACTCAGTTAGCTCTATAATCTATGAAGTTTTAACGAAACACTCTCGGTATTTTTTATTTTTAACAAAAAATCACATTTTTACCTTTCCCTGAGACTATTCACTACACCTTTATTTGTCATTTTTCATTAAAACTAAGGTTTTTTTTGGACTTTTCGTTAGTTTTCCTTATAATCTAATGTTGAAACAATATTAAACGTCGAACACAATACCACACATATACAAACCCAAAAATTATGTAAGGAAACATCCCTGAAATCAACTCAGACATTTGGTGAGGTTAAAACGTTTTTCAAATGCAATAGCAGCGTGTTTGGGTCATAAATAAAAATAAGATCTGTTATAGAGCTAATCTGTTTTTATTTATGCAAAGTGGTGCAACTCTGGTGTTGGGTTCAAATTCAAAATTTTTAACAATTGGAAAGCCAACGGACAAGAATGGGCCACGTCACCCAGGGGTAGAAGGACCTAACAGCCCTACAACACGGGCCCCACGATCCTCTTTGTCCCTTGATGCGCCACCCACGAGTGGGTGTAACTGACGTGTGTCTGACGTCATATTACATTCAGGCTAACAGCCAAGCAGAGATTGCTTGACTGGGCAATCAGACTGCTTTAGGCCTACCAATTGCCCAACTTTTTGGGTTCGGCCGGAGGTTGGCTTTTCGATTTCGGGGTGTGGGGTGGAGTTGCTCGTCGTACATCACATTCACACAAAATTGTATACAACCAGTGTCGTAAGTTTTACCGCCCGACCTTTCGGCTTTGTGCCATAAAATTGGTGCCCAAAGACAACTTTCGGAGAAACGAAACTAGGCTTGTCATTTTCGGCCCACAAAACTTGGGCCTTAAATTTGGGTCTTGAACTTCACAATAAAACTGGGCCAGAACTTTATGCTTGGGGTTGGGGTGGCCCAAGTACGATTTTGGCGGCAGTGAGCTCATCAAGTAAAACAAAACACTTGCTTTCTTCTTCCTTTTTTCTGTGCTTGTCTGACGACTTTACCCCCGGAAACCGCAGAGCTTCGAAACCAACTGACGATGTCAACTTCCGAGCCCTCTGATAGTGTGATAGGCAATGCTCATCGACGGAGAGGACGATCAGGAAGTACACGAACTGCAAACCTGACGCTCGGACTACCGATTCCCAAGCAACGCCGAGAAATCTCGCCTTCGCTGTCGTCGAATTACGGTGGCGACGGCGACGAAGGCAGAAGTAAAAAGGTTTTGGCTTTGAGCGATACAGAGGGTTTGTTTTGTCCTATTTGTATGGAGGCGTGGGAGTCACAAGGCGATCATCAAGTCAGGTTAGAAATACAAATATACCATCTTCTTGGTTTTCCCGGAATTTTTTTGTTTTCCTGGAAAATTTATTGGTTTGTGTTGGCATGAGTGTTGATTTGATTTTTGTTGCTGTTGTTGTAAGAATTCAGATTGTTTGATCGTTTTGGAGAGTTTGATTTTTGTTTTGATTCAGTAAAGTTGCGTTCTTTAGAAACGGATTGTTGATTGCATCGGGAGAATTTACTATTTCATTCGAATGGTTTACTCGAAACCGGAAATTCTATGCTAAAATTCAGAAAGGTACAAGGAAACAGTAAAGGCCTGTTTGGTATCCTATTTGAAAATAGTTCTACCAAACAAGTATTTAAGGCCTAAAACTTGAAAATTGTTTTTGAGTTTAAAAAGTTGGATTCAAGTACACTACCAAACAGGCCCTAAAATTTATCAACCCAACAATTGGTAAAGTTAATTACATTGCCAACGTCACCGAAAGTATTCACGTAAATTAACCCATAAACCCCCAATACCATCTCAGAAGCTGAGAAGAACTCAATTGGGGAGTCCTGACTGTTCGATATTAGCGTTGCAGAACATAGTTGTGTCAACAACAAATGAAAAGTGCTGGATTAATATGGTATCTTCTCGAGGGAAGTCTGACATAACACGGTAATGGTTAAAGGCTTGGTGTTCTTAAGTTGTTAGTGACCTCACTTTTGGGTCAGCTCGCGTGCTTCCCGTCAACAAAAAGTAAAAATGTTTTGTGGGGGAGGGGTTCTTTGTTGGGAATGCGATGTTGAAGTTAAATTCTAGCTTTCTTAACTTGCCATTACACTTGAATTTTTGTGCTGACATCTGTAATTTCTAATTAATAATTTTGCTTTTGTTGCTAGAGTGCTATTTGTATTCCTCCAGGTATTCTGCGTAACGTATCACTTTCAATTGAAAATTCGATTGGCTAAACTCATTCTTTGTTCATTTCGAAGTTGTCTTCCTTGTGGTCATGTATATGGCTTGTCTTGCATTAGAAGATGGATTCAACAACATGGTGGAATTGTTGCAAAGGTTCTTTCTGCTGCCTTCTTTGTTTTTTCATTTATCTACGTTCATTTCACCCATCGTTCTTTTATTTTTCATTTATCTACATTTGTTTCACCCATCGTTTTTTTCTTTAGTGTCCACAATGCAATTCAAAGTACAACTTAAAGGACATAATAAAGCTGTTTGGATCACCAATAGTTGTTCTTGATGAAAGTCTACTTAAGGTGATGGTTATGTATTATCTCGTGTTAACAAGTTTCAAACGTTTATGATAAACACTATTCTGAATATGAACTCAACCATTCTGCAGAAAGTAAGATCATACGAGGCTGAAGTCGCCTCTCTCAAGACTGAAGTAAGACTACGGAGTACCAGATTATCAAGCTGCATTCTGTTTGGTTGCTTAGTTGTTGCAATAACAGTTAAAATACTTGTTTTCTTTTTTAATTTGGCAAAGGAGAATGCCTTTATGATTTTTTCTATCATGTGCAGAGAGCTTCTTTACTTGCCATACAAGATGATTTATTCCGTGTACAAGAAAATCTATTCAAGGAATTAACCAACCGGGAGGAGGTATATTTGTTTGTAAACTTCATATTTTTATTTCTCAAATTAACTTGATCTTCGAAAGACGTATTATCTTGGTTTCCTCTTTCTTACGGCGTTGGGCATTCATTTCTTGGGATCAGTTAATTCATGCAGAAAACTGTTTCATCCTTTCAAGTTTATAACAAATATTTTGCTGTGTTTAAAGTTTTGGTTTAAGAATTATATTTTTTGATTATTTATCTGCTTTTGCTAGTTAGTTCTATTTTATCCTTTGCTAGCTGCTTTTCCACTGATGTCCCCATTTTGTTTTCCAGAAACTTAGCTGCAGAGGTGATGCAGCATCAGGAGAGAAAGGGATGGAGCAGAGACAGAGCAAACAATGGGGTCATATTTCTATTTTAGAACTTTACCTTGCAAATTTATTTCCAGTTTTTACATCGAGCAAATTTATTTTCAGTTGGTTGTGTCTAAAAGAATTAATGCCCCTTAAGATTTCTGTCATAATAACCCACCATCTTTTTTATGGTCTCACAACATGATGAAAACATTCATTGTTACTCATTTAAAAGTATGTGCCCTACTGCTATAATGAATCAGTGAATTTGTTTTAATTGGAGACGTGCTGCTACAATGCAGATCATCACTCTGCCCATAATTTTCTCAGAGAAGGAATTCTTCACTGTAAATTTCAATTGGAGGTGCATCTATTCGTAATTCTTTCTCCCACTTTATCACATCACATATTGTTCGGTGATTTGTTCTTTCATTCAGTTGGGTACTTGTCTGAGTGGCTTCCACAATTTTTTATGTAGTCCTTGTAGAAGTAAATTTGTCTATAATGCATTTGGAGAACTTTTTGTACAAGAGGAATTTCCCTATCATGATCAGAATTTGGTAAATCCCAATAAGGCTGAGTTGCTTCTTGTATGAACACTATAAGGTCTTTGCAAAGCTAAAAAACGGTGGATTATCGATTCATCAGTTAGATTATAAATAGAGGATGGGTTTCTGGAAATATGGTCATAGGATCTTTTTGGTTGCAAACAAGCCTATGTACTTGGTGGTGAGGATAGCATGAGACTAGAGGGCATGCTTGTCTGCATTGAGTAGTGGGAATGTGGCAGACGCCATGACATTTAGGGTGAAGGTGGGCAGTAGTGTCTGATGTGCCATTGAGCTGGTGGCTGCTTTTTGCTTGTTTGGTGGAATAGCACTCTCTAAAATATGCGCTAAGATTCCAGCCAAAAGCAGACACCATTCATAGTAAACAGAAGAATATATGTATTCTTTTAGGCAAAAAAAACTGACCGATAAATATAAATCATGAACATACCATACAAAAGAGATCAAAGAGAATGACAACGGTCTGATCATATTTGTTGTAATTATATATTAACTTCATTCATGGTTCAGTTTTTTCGTGTATATGCTTGTCAACACATGATTTTGGCAGTTAGATGCTTGTCATCCATGACTCTATTTTGGCAGTTAGATGCTTGTCATCCATTACTCTATTTTACAATTTTGATTTCATATGATGCATAGCATCCATTGACAGTGGATAGATTTATCATTGACAGTGTGAGCTGGCAGTAGAAGGAGCACGGCTTTTTGATATGGATGCTTCTTCTCAAACTTTGGTCCTTGCTCGAAGGATATCTGGATTAGGTGGCACACACATGCTGAAGAAAGTAAAGTTCTTGTTGAACACTAACAAAAACAAACAAAAATATAGTTTTCAGCATATACGTGTGTCTGAGTTTGTTACTTTTCATATGCATAATTGGTTTAAGATTTCTGTTGCCACAGGTCAACTTGATATCTCCTCAACAAAGTGAAGATATACAGCTTCCACCTGGTACAAAGCCCATTAAGGATCTACACATATCCCCGTGTGGTAGATTCACCCTTTTAGCTTCACTGGGGAAGAAACTATCATTTCTTAGGTTTGCCTATTCTATCTTTTTAGCCAATGTGACTATTTAGGTGCAAAATGTTGGAAGTTTATTTTCAGTTACAATTTTTTTTGGAATTTACTTGTTTTGTTTTGTTTTGTGTTTCAGCTTGGGGAGCAACAGTTTTGTCATCACTTATGACTTACCGGTATAATTTTTCCCATATTCTGTGTTGCAACTTGCAAGTCTAGAGAATAAATGTTGTCGCTTATCAGCTATTGTGTGTGTGTGTGTGTGTGTGTGTGTGTCTAGTGGAGTATTTTCACTGCAGAATATCCCATTTTTCCTTTTCTTTTTTTTTTTTTTTTTTTCTTTTAATAGTTTTTTTGGAGTAAGTTCTGTGATCAGATCAGTGCCCACAGGGCAGATTACAGGGTTCTGAAATAAGATTGGATCCCATATTGGAACTTCCCAAAGTGATCAGTCATATTTTTTTCTAGCATCTATTATACGAATGAGATTCTGTACTTAACATTATAAAACAGAAGGGATTTCCGGGACCCATTTAGCAAGTACTCACTTTTCGGATTTATGGAGACACAGATAGTTAGCTTATATGGAAACTGTTGTGCTACCATTACCATGTACTTTTTTATTTTTTTTCCACCATTTATCTGAATAAACATGGTTCTGCATATCCAGGGCCCGGCATGGTCGTGCTCATGGGATCTTAACAAGCCACATTGTATATATACTGGTTTACAGGTTTTGATCCCTAACCATTTAGTTTAAGTTGTATCATGTGCTTGTATTCTTATGTGGATGAGGAGGGTTGTATATAGACCATATAATACTGCTTAGTGTGTATCTTCTATTCATTGAGCGCCTCTAGATGTTTTATTCATTTTAGTTTGGTCAATCTTATGCTAAGTTGATAAAATATCAGTTTATTGTTGGCGGCTATTTATCTTATCCGCTCATTTGTAATTTGGCAGGATGGTTTGCTTTTAATGTTCGATATGCGTTTTAGCAAGCTTCCTCTGCTATCTTTGGCTGGGCTGACCTCCCGGCCAATTCATACTATACACTCCCTTGTGCAAAACCGTGCTTTCAGTCACACTTCTCATAAATTGCTCACTGCTTCTTCCAGCGGCCCTTGCGTGTGGAACATGGGTAGTGCTGGTCCTGCTGGAGAAAGGTTAGTTTATACAAAGTTATAAACTTGTGATGATTAGACCCTTTGGTTAAAGTATCCTGCTAACTCTTCTACAAAGGTTGAACTTCTGAAACATAACCTTAAAGTCATATGAACTGGTTGATATTCTAACTCGTATCTAAAACTTGAAGGCCATTTCTCATCCCCGGATTAGAGGATCAAGGTGTTTGTACATCAGTAGCTTATAGTCCCTCAACTGATAACATAGTTGCTTCATATCATCCGAAAACCGATACATCAGCTAGACCTTCTGGTTCACAAGTTCTTATCAAGAGGGTAGATGATTGCTTTTATCATAAGATCGGATCTGTGCCAGTTCAATTGAATGACTTTCAGCTGAGAAAGTCTGCCATTGTAGATATACCAGACTGCTACCCATTGTTTGCGTATGGTGAGGAACTGACCCGTGGATTGAGGCTGCGGGAATTGCCAAGTCTAAAAGTGAGCCAGAATCTTGAACCTCATCAACATTCCATCCTTGACGTGAAGTATGCACGTTCTCAGGACAAAGGTTTGCTTGGTTGCTTGAGCGAGGACAAGTTGCAACTTTTCTCCGCGGCTACAAAAGGTGTGTTTATATTGTAAATACTGATGCTAAAATAAATTTGAAAAGCGAAAGGCGAAAGAGAGAGAGATCTGCAACTGCTGCAAGGTTTTACCCATCACTATTTAACTACCAAGAACACTGGTTTTCGGAATCATAAGCAAAGATGAATCGTCCTTGAGGATTCGAGGCTGCCAATAAGAGAGGTTCTAAGTTAAAGTCCTGCCCAGTTCGGCTAGTTCTGTGGTATACATTTATCGGCCATAGCTCTGGTCGACTGTTACTATTCTTATGGTTCTACCGTAGATTTGAGAAGTCGAAATTCAAGTTTCTTGTTCATAAGAAAGATACGGCGACAAAGGAAATAGATATCTTTCTACTTAGCTCTCTTTCGCCATCCTTTTCCCTTCTTTTTGTTTGTGTATATAACCCAAAAATTGTTCAATTAGTGCTTAAATTGTTTCGGAAATAACTTTGTTATTCCTGATGAGGCTTCTTTTAACTACTGAAAAACACGTCCTGCAAGAATCATAGAACTGATGCTTCTTTTTTGGAACTCAAAATCACCATCACCAAAAGCATTTTCGGTCATTTTAAAAGCACTTGTAAACGAGTCATACACCATTAAGAAAAGAACATTCGAAGGTTGAGGTCTGTGTTGGTTGGCGGGTAATTGGATTGTCAAAGGGTAGAAGAATGCTTATCCTTGTTTTTGTCTCCCAACATTTCCAAACGTTGGATTGAAAGTCTTTGTATGCTCAAGTCCTAGGAAGTTCGGATTGAGCATGGAAACCAAACAGGCCGTAAGAATTTCTCTACCAAGGTTAGGTGGAAAAGTGATTGTATATCCATAAAATAAGTCACATAATTCCAATAACTCCATAGAAAAACGATTACAAGTTTATAATTTTCAACCTTAATGCCAATACTTCATAGAAAAACAATTCTAAGTTTATAATTTTCAATATATTTTTGTGCTAGTGGTAGATTGCTCGAATAGTCGGGGTCTTTCTATTCTATTCTATTCAATGTGTCGTGTTTAACGACTTAGTGTAATTTGGAGTAAGAATATTGCTTGTATTAAAAAAAGAAAAGTGACCAACTCGCAGATTAGGGTTTAGCTAAGTTCATTAAAGCAGTATGGTACATTCTATGCACCTAAGTTCGAATCATCATTTTCGTAATTTAGATAAATTAGTGTAATTATTTTATCATTTGCTAAAAAAAAAAGTCATACAATGAGCTACTCAAATAATTCAGTATTAAAACATTTCGATTAAAAGTAGAAACGAACGTCACTAACTGTAATATTAAGTGACATGATAACAATAGAGAAATATTTAATCAACGATTAGAACAAGATCAATTTTGCATCATATGTAAGGAATTCCTTGGTTCAAGTCGAAGAAGCAATGTCACTTGACCATTATCAAACTGACTGCAATCTTTATGTCCGTGAGAATCCCACAGAGCGCCTTCTGCTTTTAATAGGTCATAAACTAAATCGGAATCATTCTCAATAAGTCCATATGAAGTAATTTTTTTTTTTCTTTATCAAATCAGAGTAGAGACCGAAGGTCTTAAGCAACCGATGCGATAGAACAACTCAAAAAATAAAGAAACACTTCGATTAAAAAAAAAATAAAGTAAAAGTGATTGAAACGAAAAGGATTTCTGTGGTAGGTTGAGAAGAAAAAGTAGTCAACTACTTAATATATGGAAAGTGTGTAGAAATCCTTTTGGGAAAATTACAAACTTTTGCGTCAAAATTAAATTTTGGTGTGCGAATAAATGGAGGACATGGTTTCCTCGTTTACTTAATTGCGTGGAAAGACCTTGGCCACCAATCCGAGAAGATTTACTTTCCGGATCTATTTCATTAAGATTGTTGAAACAAGTGATCCAAATTATTTAAATTTCATCCAAATTACTCATTTATTTGGACTTTTTCAAAACTATATAATAATTTTTTACTATTGAATGAAATTAAAAAAATCCACTTGATTCAGTGACGGTGAAAGAGATTCGAAGAAGATCTTTCTCCACCAATCCGACTCACATCCACGTCGCCAACAGAGGGTGACTCGAAACCATTTCTCCAAGCTACGTATACCATAAACAAATAAATAAATCCAGAAATTAATATTATAAATTGCTTTCTTCTCCATTCATCATAATCCAATCCATACTTTCTCTGTCAATCATTGTAATCTCTGAGCGCTTTCAGTGATACGTGCGGATCAAGGTAATTGTTTGTCTTGCATTAAGTATAATTTCATCCCTTTTTCCTTTTCGAATCTCTGGTTTTTTTGGTATGAACTGTGCTTGTAGATCTCAAGTGGGGTTGGGTTTTTTTTTTTTTATTCGACTTTTTTTTGGAATCAAATGCTAAAATCTTTGTGGGTTCTTTAGCATTCGGGATTCTGTGAACTTTTCCTTTTTATACGAATCTGTTTTTTTTTTTTAAACATTGTTAATCTCCTTTGGAATTTGCCTTTAAAGGGATGTTTGTTTAATTAACAGTGGAATAGATGAGAAGGAGATTGATTAGTTTGGGGGTGATTGATTATTAGTGGTTAATGAATGCAGATTAAGTTATTTTGGTTAATCCGGTGTTGGATTATCCGATTTTATGGATATGAAAAGAATTGTTGACATTTTGTTTTATATCGAAAGTAATGTGAAGAATTTGTTGTTTCCATGAATTGGGTTCTTGTTTAAATGATCATCTTGTAGTTGGGTTTGCGTCGAATTAGGACGCGGTTCGATTAGGTTTTATTTGTTTGCTGAAGGTTTAGGGGTAGAGGAGGCTACCCCATCCCAGGCAGGGCATACCACAAGCCTTACAGAGGGGTCTTGGCCTCTTTTTTGGTTTTTACAGGTCGCCCACCAAGAGGTATTTCCGGAAGCGAGACTCGAACCTAGGCCTTGGTCTAGGGAAGAGAACAATCCTTACCAGCTCAACTCAACGAACCTAGGAATAGGTTTTAGAGCCTCGTTGTTTTGCAACTTTTGTTGTCAAAGAATCAACTTTTAAGGTCCGTATTGGGTTGCTGGATAACTGCTGAAAAGCATGTACATAATGCTCGCTTTCGCAATTAACACGGACAGTAAAATATGCAGAGTTGAATTTGGAGGCTCTGATCTTTGAAAATAGTAAAGCTTGAGGAAAGTAATTTTTGGAGATTTGAACATGGAAGACTTTGTGATCGAATCAATTATTTGCAATTGTCGAGATTATGCTTTTAAATAGTCTGTATTGGTAGTTACTTATGTTTAACCAGCATCTGTCATCTCTGTTGGACCGCCTGTGGAGGTTCCTTATGCTAAGCAGTAGTTCCTTCAGAAATTTTGTCTTTCATTTCAGCTGGCTGTGTCTGTTAGTAAAACACTGGAAGCTGCTTCGCAACACTTTACTGTCGTTTGCATTAAGGAATGGTCACTCGATATGGAGACAATGTCAGTGAATACTGGAAATTCCCATTCCAATAAAAGGCAAGCGTCAGAGCATTCGGAAACTACTAATGAAGAAAAGAGGCCTGCGGTAAAAGAAGTGAGCACTTCTGTATTTGTTAATCATGGTAAGTTTGTGGATATTATGGCAATTAAGAGCTAATACTGATACATGTAAGACCTTTCCTACTTTGGTAGTAAGATTAGACTAACCCTTAATAAGAAACACTTGAATATAATCGATCTTATTACAACATCTATTGGGTTGAAGATATTCAAAATCCCTTAGGTTATAGAAAGGTACAAGATATTCAGAATCCCTTTATTCATTCCGGAAAAGTGTACAAAATTTTTATTTTCATGCTTTGTTGATAAAAGGAATGAGGGCGAGCCTTGGCGCAAGCCTTGTTGGCTTGGGTTTGCCCTTATTTTTGATAAAAGGTACAAGAATTGATATTTGAACGGATTCTCTTAATCTTTTCGTTTCTCTTTCATCGTGGTATCATTTCATAAAAAGTAAAAACTAGCTTTTACAATTTAGTAATACCTATCTTCCTTTATAAGGACGTCTTTCAAATTTGGATCTCCGCCTATGCAAGAGCTTTTTATGGTTCTTTTCTGGTTTCCTTCTGTATCATTTCCTTTCTTTGGGGCTGGGGAAAAGTGTAGTAAGAAACTATTCCGTCTGCCCAGTCATTACCATATCTCAGCAATTGAAAACAACAATTTTTTATTTGTTTTAGTTGGTATTAATCATTTGTTCCTTGGAGATAATCGCACTTTTTATCTCGTAGCTGCAATTGCTTGGCATGAGAGGAGAAAAAAGTGGGTTGGGAATGAGCGGGTGCAAAGAGCAGAAAAGGATCCAATCATAAGGTATTTTCTCTTCACAAAACTTCTTGTAAAGTAGAGAAAAAAGTTGGACAGCAGAATTTTTATAAGATCTAATCTTTTAGCACACCTAAGAAACATCATGTCTTGTACTTACATTTTAGCAAATTTGACTTTTATTTTTAATGCTAGTTAATTAGAAACCTCTGTCCCCATTCCTGAACTTCAGTTGGCGGGTTTATGTAAAAAAAAAGGGTGCACCTTTTCTGTTCTGGCATTTTATACGTGTGTTTTCGAATACTATCTTTTCTTTCAAATTTAAACACCGACATAAACCGAAGAAGTTCTTGCAACATTAAAATGGGGTTGATGGTTAATGATATCATATCGTTGGCCTTCTCCGATTATTTCCTTTGAATTCTAGCTACTGAAAGAATTTCTGGACTCCGGAAGATGATGCAATCAATTTATTTTGCAGCTGGTCAACATCATATGAAGATCTGTTGTCGACAAATGAGTCCTTTCCTGAGCCAATCCCCTTAACTGTAAGTTTTTCATTTTCTTTTTCCGAAAAGATTGTTCTACGTGTTTCACATGTAGAATCTGGATTTATGATATTTTGTTACGACTTTTTCTTATCGCTGTGAATTTAAGTTACCGGTGAACTGTGCAGGAGATGGTAGACTTTTTAGTTGATATTTGGCACGACGAAGGTCTCTTCGATTAGACGATGTGGAGACAGATAAAAGTTGGAGAAGGTCATTGAACCCTAATTCAATCTAATTTCTTGTAGCTGATCAATCACACAAGGTTGGATTCCGGAAAGCGTTGCGATGAACCGAAGCAATATCCTTTTCCGGTTTCTTAATTCTTTGGATTGTAAAATCTAGATATTGTTCAACATTTACCACTTTAAATTGTGGGGAAAAGAAAGACTAATGCAGTAATTTCCTTTGGGAATACCAGTTAATGAACTGAAGATACAATTTTGGTAAATGATTAAAAGATGGAGTAGGATTCTCGGCCTTCCAAATCGATAATGTTGTTTTTGTAGTCGTTAGATCTACAATCATTGAAAATGTTTGGTGAGTATTTACTCTCTTCTTTTATGCAACTGAAGGTATTTATTTGTGTTTACTTATTTGAAATGAAAAGTAGGAGCCTCACGTTCCATTTTGTAATCAAAATCATAGGGTGGTGTTATGTATAGTTGTACACCTTTTTTTTTTATATTTCTTAAACACCTTTTGTTAATTTCTGGCTTTTGATTTTTTTTAATTCCTTCAACCCGACATCGAAAATTAAGAGGTGTGTGGAAGATAAAAGAGAAGTGTGGGAATAGCATCATCCCAAATTATATTGATTTGGAGTGGTAATCTCATATCCATTTGTTGCTAAAATATGAGTTTTACTTGTATTTATTTTTTGAATCGTTTCAATTTCTAACTTTTTATATGTTTGGTAAGCACATTTAATTGGAAAAAAAAAATGCGAAATTTCTCCTTAACATCGGGAAAATGAATACCTAAAATCAATAACCAAATTAATTGTTCCGATTTCTTTTCCTTACTTCTCCTGTTTAAAGTTTCTCGATTCCTTACTTCTCTCGTTTTAAGTTTCTCGATTTCTTACTTCTCCCGCTGTCTCCTGTATCCCTGACTTCCGAATCCACAATTTTCCCATTTAAATAAAACATTTCGAATTCGAACAGATCCTTTTTGGTAAAAATAAAAATAACGTATAAAAAAAAAAATAAAAAATAAAAAAGAAATAAAAAGAAGAAGAAGAAGGAGAAGAAGGTAAAAACGCGGGGAAGGAACCGTCGGTTGGTCGTTGCTGGCTGCCGCTTGGAAAGTAAACGCGGAAAGGAAAAGTCTCAGTGGAGGGAAAAACGAAACAGAGATACACACCATACCATCGGATAATCCGATTAGATCTTAGAGAAACCAGAGAGAGAGAGAGAGAGAGAGAGAGAGAGAGAGAGAGAGTTCGAGACAGCGAGAAAAAGGAACGGGAAAAAAATGAACAAAGTCAAGAGCTTGTTGAAGCCGAAACCTAACCCGTCGGAGCAACTCAGAGAATGGCAGCGGCGCCTCCGCCATGAGTGCCGCAACATGGAGCGCCAAATCAGAGGCAAAAGCTTCCTTCTTTCATTATCTTTCTTCTCGTTTTCAAATTACATGTAATTTTGCGTTTTGGGTTCAATTTATTTGGTGCGGATTTCTTTTATTTTGTTCTTAATTCTTGTCAATTATTTGAATTTTTGGGCTGAGATGGGTTTGTGTGTAACTGTTGATTAATTTTAGTCTAAAAGAAAGATGGGATTTTTGTTTCATAGATATACAGAAAGAAGAGAAAGCTGTTCATAAAACTATCAGAGAGGCTGCCAAGAGAAATGACATGGCTACAGCCAAGGTACTCCAAATTTTAGCTTTACTGCTGATCACTCGATTGTCAATAATTTTAGTTGCAATTTAGAAACACTGGTTACACAAAAGCCTTCTTGTCGAAAACTGGAAGGGGAAAAGCTTTGCCTTCTATTAGCTTATGAAGGTTCAATGAATCGATAGTCGTTCTGTTTCAGAGGGTTTGTGGATTTTGGAGCTCAGTGTCACTAATGTCAAGATGTTTTTGTTCTCGGAGTTTGTATTGGTAGGAATCTGTTTCAGCTACGTTACGGTTTTGGGCCATTTGTAATGAAGTTCTTAAGTGTAAACCTGAATGCGGGTGTTTTTAGATTCCCTGGGATTTTCCTGTGTAGGATGATAGCGATATGGTCTTTACGTTGAATGTCTACTACTTGTGTTAGCTTATTGTTGTTTTGATCATCGCATTATGCATGTTCTTATGTGTTGATCGACTTGTGAATTGTGTTCAGGCCCTTGCAAAGGAAATTGTGATGTCGAGGAAAGTTGTGAATCGGCTTCATGAGAATAAGGCACAACTGAATTCGATATCTATGCACCTTGGAGAAAGTGTTGGTATTGCTTCACACACATAAAATTATTATTTTAGTTCCCCTATGCTTATGTTGTCTTGAATTTGTGCCTAGCATGTTAATCTTCAATCCACCCTACCCCCTTCTCCATTGTTTAAATCAGCTTTATGGTATTGATATGTTGTATGTGCTTGCAGCACTTGCCCGTACCGTGGGTCATCTGTCAAAAAGTACAGAGGTTATGAAACTTGTCAATAACCTCATGAAAGCTCCAGAAATGGCCATCACGATGCATGAATTTACCAAAGAAATCACCAAGGTAAGATACCTTAAAGTGCTTTTTGGGTGGCTGTTAGAAGTTATAACTCCGCCCTGATTGCCCTATAGTCTCAAGTGTCGCACTCGTGTTTAAGCAGGGGATCAATCTCTTGCTTTAATTTTGTACTTATTTATTTCATGTTTGTTTATTTGGCTTAAAATGTTATACGGGGTATCGTTTCACATAATTTACAGCTGTTCTATCGAATAAATGATTTGATTGAAATATCTGAACTCATTTTATGTAGAAAGTTGGGTGTTATTATTTTTTATTTTCACTTACTTAATCAATGAACAATGAGAGTGCTGAATGTTACAAATTCTTTTCTATAACATGGAGAGAACAAATTATATCCGAGTGCGCCTTTGACTGGCTCCCTGTTTTGGGAATGGTATATTTTTAATGATGAGGAGAGACGAGACTGAAGCATATCTTAAGCTTCAGAGTTTTTGCAATGTGGAACGTGTTTGGGTGCCAGTATACTGTCTATATAGCTTGAAATCTTTAGATGTAACACTCTATTGGTCATATAGGCTGGCGTGATTGAAGAATTCGTAGATGATGCTCTTGATACGGCATTAGATTCAGAAGATATAGAAGAGGAAACTGAAGAAGAAGTCGAAAGGGTCCTCAGTGAAATAGCTGGTGAGACGGCTGCACAGCTCCCAGAAGCTGTGCGGAAGGAGAGGACAAAGGTAGCAGCCCAGAGAGCCAGTGCGTCACAAGTATGTGTCGTAGACTCCATTTTTATATCTTTTCGTTGTTCCTTGCAAGATGCAATGAAATAACTCGTCATTAATCCATGCAGGAAGAAGCTATAGCAGAGGGTGCAGACAATGAGGAAGAGTTGGAAGCACTGAGGGCGCGGCTTGCCCAAGTGAGATCGTAAAATTTTCATGTAGTTCCCGCAGTTCGTTCCCTTCTTATTAGGAAAACTTCTTTGTGTATTTTGTAGAGGCATCTTAAAGTTTAGAAATTTATTGTTTTCTTCATTAAGGGCTATAGACACAGCTTGCTTTGTATAAATGAGACAAATGTTGTAGGGCTCGTTTGGAAGTGTCTTTAAAATGACTGAAAGCGTTTTTGAGGAGAGTGCTTTTGGAACCTAAAATACTTTCACCAAAAGCGTTTTAAGTTATTTTAAAAGCACTTTCAAACAAGCCTGTACATTAATACAATTTGTTACATAGTTTTGTTAGTCTTATACTCGACTTTCAACACCAAGAGGTCTAATACTAGTTGAATGAATTTATTTAACATCTTGTGAGTAGTGGTTATGATGCTGCAATGAATGAACAGCCGAGTTCATATGCATTAACGGCTGACAATCATCGAGGCATGCGTAACCGTCATGCCTTACCTCGAGCTGGTGTCAGACTCTGTTGTAAAGCAAGGCTATATATAGCATTCTGACGGTGACTAGATTTGGAATTCTTGCTGAATTGGAGTTGCTTTTTGTTCTGCTAACTGACGTTATGCTCGTGCGTTTGCTGAGTATATTACCTTGATCCAAAAAGTCACTCAATCAGCACCGTCCTTCCTACTTCACTTTCTCTCCATATCTATCTTCATCCCCAAGTTATTTGCAAAACTAGCCCATCCAATCTCCGTCCACGCACAGCTCAAAATACTAAACGTGTAGGGTTTTATCGTAAAAAGTCTTGTTATTAGTTGGAGTGGAGTTAGGATATTTAAACTCTTATTTTCACAGAGATATGACTGATGTGAGATATTTCAATACCTTCTCATGTGGGACCCACTTAGTGAGTTACACGTGGGAAATCCACATATCGACAACCAAAGTCAAGGGGACTCACCCTACATGTATGGCCAAAGGACCCAACATTATCGCGAGGGCCAAGAGAATCCACCCATCACGTGGTAGTATAGTACGAGTCTGCTCTCTGACTCTAATATCATGTTGAATAGGTTGGAGCACCTCTTTCTTTGTGTAGCATTACCATGTTGGATAAAATACTTCTTTTTACAAAAATACGATTAATGTAGGATATTTCAACACTTATATCGTTATAAATTGTCAGCACATGAATCAACTGCTAACAATCGTTTCATAAACACAATTGATGCAAACGTAATTTTGTATGACAGCTCTGTCCTATACGACGGCCCTATCCAAGAATCCCTCCTGTATGAGGTCGGTACAACTTCTCCTTCACTTGATGTGAATGAAGGCCATGGAAAGGAATCATCATCAACCTCAAAAACCACCTCTGTCGCGTGCACTCCTCTAACAGTATGCCGTTTTACACGTAATTTCAACCCCACCTTCCTTCTTTCCGTTTTTATTTTTAATTTAAAGCAACTCCTTTGTTGCAAGCGAAAGCAACCAGGTCCAAATCCCCTGCATCCCCTTCCACAGGACTACCACCAAAATTCCAATAAACGGACCCCACAGAGCCAAAATCCAACGTCCCAGATCCGTTCAATTTCTGTACCTGCGATAACCGGAAACTTCCACGAACCCACTCGCCCCAACAACTTAACAGTCCACCTATAAATTGTCGTACCACGCGACTGTTAGTTACCGCCTGGCGCCTTCTTCTCCCCGGGAAATCTCTCTCTTCTCTCTCTAGCCAAAACGCAGACGCACAAGCCATGGAACGCACGAATTCTCTCCTCCCTCACCTCCTCACCTTTCTCTCTCTTCACCTCCTCCTCTTACTTTTCTCTCCGATCGCCGCTGCCAAGCTCACGAACCCTCTCGGGCTCGCCAGGTCCAGCTTCCCGTCCGTGCACGCGAAGCAGCTGATCAGAGCCTTCAATCTCTTCCCCGAGGAAGACATCAACATCATCGACGGCCCCGATTCCTCGACCGCTGCCGTCGCCGACGCGCCGAGGCTCGTCGAGAAGCCACTCAGGCTCCCCAACCTCATTGAATCCGGAGTCTCCGTCGAGGACCTCGGCCACCATGCCGGGTACTTCAAGATCGAGCATTCTCATGCCGCCAAGTGAGCTTCTTAATCTCTTTGAATGTCGTTGTTTTTATGATACTTTGAACTGTTAAGTCGTGCTGCATCGTGAATTTGGAGTATTTAGGGGGTTTTATTTTGATTTCATTTGAATTTTAGGGTTTTATGCGGAAATTTTATGCTTAGCTGGGCCTTAATTTAGGAAAATAGGACCTCAAATTTGTTAAAGTTATGCGGAATTTTGGATTGTTTTTGGCTTGTATAGTGAATGTAGCTGCTTGCTTGGTGTTCTTACTATTCAATTTGTGTGGTAATGTAGGATGTTCTATCTCTTCTTCGAGTCTCGCACCAACAAGAAGGACCCTGTTGTTATTTGGTTGACTGGCGGTCCGGGGTGCAGCAGTGAATTGGCTGTATTTTACGAAAATGGTCCTTTCACTATTGCAAATAACTTGTCACTTGTGTGGAACGAGTATGGCTGGGATAAGGTATATATACGAGACTCTCTGTCAATTGACTAGTTCGTTTTTGCCGACATTGTACGTATATTGAAAATTGGCAGTTGTACTTGTTGTCCTTGCCCCTTATGTGGTAACATTTTCTTGTTAATTATCGTTCATGGAACCTTTTTCTAATCATGTTGCACCGATATGAAAGTGACTCGTAAACACGTCTTCACTTATATTTACTTGTCCCTGCATGAAATCTGAGGCCGTCACTGATTTAGAGGCATCCTGCTTCAGTAAGACATGTCGATTCTTTCTTCATTTTCCTGAGAGGTAACCCTTTTTTTTTTTAACATTTACCTGTTTTGCAGGCATCTAATCTTCTGTATGTTGACCAGCCTATTGGGACTGGCTTCAGTTATAGTAGTGACAAACGTGACATTCGTCACTCTGAAGATGGTGTTAGTAATGACCTTTATGACTTCTTACAGGTGTGTCATTTATCCTTCACTTCTAAAGCAGTAATTTATTAAGTGTAATGGAAGTAATACGTGTGTATATATCTATATATTAATTTCAATGTCAAACTTAACTGCAGTGTTTTTTAGGAGAAAACCTGCATGATTTTTATCTTGAGAATTTTGGAAGAAAGCAAACTTCTTAGATGTTTAAGGTTTATTATTGTAATGAATAGTAGCATGACTTATTGTGCCTTTCAATGATGTTAGGCCTTCTTTGCCGAGCACCCTGAGTTGGCAAAGAATGACTTTTTCATAACTGGAGAATCATATGCTGGACACTATATTCCAGCTTTTGCTGCTCGAGTCCACAAAGGAAACAAAGCCAAAGAAGGAATCCATATAAATTTGAAGGTACATATCTCAAGTATTACCTTGTTTTGAGAATTGTAACGGGTCATTTCGTGGTTTAATAAATTTAGAAAAAACTTGTTGAACAGGGATTTGCCATTGGCAATGGGCTTACTGATCCTGCAGTCCAGTATAAGGCTTACACAGATTTTGCGTTGGACAATGGCTTAATCACAGCAACTGAATATAATCGTATTAACAAGGTGCTTCCAGTTTGTGAAATGGCTATAAAGCTCTGTGGTAAGTGACATATTTTAGTGGCCCCTTCCTCATTTTCTGGTTCCCTTTTTTCAAATCTCTATTAGCTTCTCCTTAAGTTTAGACCCTAAGACATGCAAATTTGTTAATTAGAATTTGCAGTTCTTTTGATCATTTTCATGTCAACATGGTGGGGCTGGCCCCTTTCTCTTTTATTGTATCCCATCTTTATGTATTTTTTCCTCTTTTCTAAGCTATGATTTATTTTATTTTATTTTATTACGCAAGCGTGTCTTTACATATTAGCCAATTAGTTGGTGCTTTTGTAAATATTAATAAACATGTACTTCCGGTTTTTTCAGGCACTGATGGTACAGTCTCTTGCATGGCTTCATATTTTGTTTGCAATACCATATTCAGTAGCATCATGGCAAAGGCCTGGAAACATAAATGTAAGAAGATCAGTTACTCATCATTGACAGAATGATTGCTCTTTAAACATTACGTTGTCATTTGGTACTCCACTATTGATCTGAAGTTTGATGGGAGTTTTTACTAATTTATTATGAATATGCAGTACTATGACATCAGACAGAAGTGTGAGGGGAGCCTTTGCTATGACTTCTCAAACATGGAGAAATTCCTGAACCTGAAGCCTGTTAGAGAGTCACTTGGAGTTGGGGACATTGAATTTGTTTCATGCAGCTCTACAGTGTATGAAGCCATGCTGGTGGACTGGATGAGGAACCTTGAAGTGGGCATCCCCACTCTTCTCGAGGACGGAATCCAACTGCTTGTGTATGCAGGAGAATATGATCTAATCTGCAACTGGCTTGGTAGGTCTTTAGGTTTTGTTTGATACGACATGCCAAACCACCTATCATTAATATTATTATCTTTTAATTTGTGATGTGTAATTCTTACCCGTAGCATATAAATTTGTATGTGATAGGTAACTCAAGATGGGTCCATGCCATGGAATGGTCTGGTCAGAAACAGTTTGTAACTTCTCCGGAAGTTCCTTTTGTTGTCGATAATTCAGAAGCAGGAGTTCTCAAGAACCATGGGCCTCTTAGCTTCCTTAAGGTCTCTTTCTCTCTCCGTCCTCACTTATCTGGGTTTCCATCTCTCACATATCTGCATTTCTCTCTATCCATAGACGTTGATTAATTACCGATCCCAATCGCTGAACTAGTTATGTGTTACGTTGTCTTGCAACAAACAGGTCCATGATGCCGGCCACATGGTTCCGATGGACCAGCCCAAGGCTGCACTGGAGATGTTGAGAGGTGGACTCGGGGATCAATTGCTGAATCCGCAGGTGAACCAGAAAAACAGGTTGCTCAGATGTGATTTTACGCCGCAACATGAACGGAGTGAAGAGTATAGGATGGATTTCCGTGGTTTCTCAATGCGCTTGTAAATATTTCGCCTGGGCTGGTGAAGCTAATAGCGTTTCTAGACAATGCGCTATGTTTGCTTGCAGTATCTTAAAATGCATAAGAAAGACTGCTTGTGGGCAAATATCTGATTAGTCGTCTTTTATGGTTGTTCTGTTCAAAGATTTCGATAGTTCATAGTTGAACGTAATACATCCTGCAACAGCGAAGTTATGGAGCTGAAGCGGATGAAAGCATTCACCTTTGCACGCAAGGGGAGATCTTACCATACAATATGCTATGTTTGCTTACACTGCTTTTAAGATGAATAAGAAAGACTGCTTGTCGATAATATATGTATTCTAACATATGATTTCGCCTTCGTTTTGTTTGTAAAATTAGGTAGTTGAACGTATTATGACCATCCAACAGAGAGCATTCACCTTTGCATACGAAGGGAGATTTTACCATAGAAGCGGACGGAATATTCATATGCCAGGATATCTCCCGTTATGAGAATTTATTATACACTCGAGCATTTATCCCGCACACGAGAGATTTGACCTAACAAGAAGGGTTAATATAAGATGTACTCTCCGAATGCCTTGTTTTAGATTTCCGTATCTCTATATCGACAATATACCATCACGTGAGAGAGACATACTGATCAAGAAAAATACCTCTGTTTCATCTAAGAATATCTCCATCTTGTTTGAGATTCCCCTCCTCAATCTCGCCGCATCATTGGAGAATAAAATACAAAAGAATTGGGAGTAACGGGTTTAAGGCCCAATTATCTCAAAGTGTGGGCCAATATAAACCCGAAACCCGTTTAAACTTCCAACCAAGTTTATCAACTTCCATGGAAACGTGTTCGTAAATTGTGGAAGCTCTGTGTAGTAAAAAAACTGCAAAATCTTCTTCAATGGCAGCTTCTGCTCTTGCTTTCTCTCTGAAAACTTCACTCAACAATTCTCCTCTGCTTATCCCTTCAATTTCCTCAAATCCTCTGCTGCCTCCAAAGATTTCAACACGTTCTTCTTCTTCGTCGTCGGAAAATTACAGAAGCCATCAGTTGAAGCTCCTCAAGAGCACCCCAAGAGCCTCTTCTGAAAGAGAAGGTACTCAATTTCCGTTCCTCCTAAACATTTTTGGTGTTGGAGCTAAATTGTAAATCTTTTCGATAGCGAAAAAGAAATGGATATGCTTTGGGATTTACTTGAAATCTTATCACTCAAAAATCACTAGCGTAGTCTAAACTGAGCTTGAACAAGGGACATTGAATTCCCGAGAGTCGAACCTAAGACCTATAAGCGGAGATGAATATCACTAGACGTTGTACTATGTGACATATTGCTTAATTATTACTGCTTTTGTTTAATTTGTTTTTACAACTTTACAGGAGTTCCTAGTGAGTTGATTGAAGATTCAAAATTCGTTCCTCTAAACGCAGATGAAATGATATTTGGTCCACCTGTAAGTTGCGGTTAGTTTCGCTCCAGTTGTTTTCGATCATAACAGTCTGCCAATGTCTCTTTATATGTTTGCAAGCATGCCCTTCAATTTAAAGACAAGAATTGATGACAGTCTTGTTTTGATTGAAGAAACGAGCTTTCGAATCAGAGATCGAATTCCCACTTTAGAATCTGATTTTGCAAAGAAATTGCAAATGTAAATCATTGATCTGTTTATAGATGTATGCCGATAAATGATATTACAATTACTAATGAGGTTGAAGATTCAAACTTTCTCGTTTCTAGGCTTTGTTACTGTTGGGGTTTGAAGTGGAGGAAGCTGAGAAGGTAACTTGTTTTCCATCTACTTACTTTTCTCGTTTCTGAAGAGTTTATTTGTCTTGACCAATGCATTTTCATTTCTCCATCTGAACGTAGTAAGAAATTTCTACGAAGATCAATAGGTTATGGACTGAAGTTAGTGAATCTTGTTGAACTATAAGCCGTGAGCTGATTAGTATTTGAGAATAATCCTGTTTTTAATTGTGTATTCACTTGTGCTTAGAAATTGCCAAGTGTAAGATCTAAATATGGTAAGGCCATGAGTGCCATGTGTGATGATCCTAGCTATTGCTAGATGAGTGGCTGTGATCGTTTTATCTAGAAGGAAAAGATCCAGCTAAGCATTGTTAACAGAATTATTCCTTTTGCACGATTGTGAGTGCAGAGAGAAAAATATACTTTTACAGAAAAGAAGAAAGCTTCCTCTGTGACTTGCAGAGAGGATAGCAATCATTTTACATTCTCAGTGCCTTCTTTTCTTCTTCTGCCATTCATACAAAACACTAACAAATCTTAGACAGCTAGAGAACATTCTGACATTGCTGCTTTCAAAAGTTTTAAAACCAGTTTTCTGAAACCGCTGCAAGTAACGTTCATCTCAGAGCGTTGCTGGTTGTACTTATAAATGGCAAGTGCTACACCTATGAATCATGCTTTGCGCTCATCGTGTTATCTTATGTGTCTTCTCGTGCAGATCCAACAGTTTTTGAAACAGCTAGACGGAGAATTCCTCAAGGTAACCATGTATATTTTTTACTATGTTCGTTCCCTGTGGACGTTTACCTTTTCAAGGTTGACCTACAAAATCGAAAACCGCAGCCAATCAATCGTACTGATACCATAGTGATAAGGGAAATATGTCTGATTTCTTCACATGTTTGCCATTTTTCTGTTTAATGTTGTTAATGTAGGTTATTTATTGTACTGAAGACATGATTACTCGTTCACTTTGGGACGCGATGAATACAAGCCAGCCGAATTTGGAAGCATTACAGGTTGAAAATCTCCACCTTGCTAATTACTAGTTCTTGCTGAAAACTGTACGTTGAATACTGGTCATCTAAAATTCATGTCTGTTTGATGAACTTTGGAAATGCAAAATTTAAAACATCTGGAGACATCTGAAGATACTCTAATTTGGCCTCCATGCTCGTGTTGTTATAATCTAAAGTATGTTTTCATCATCATAGCACTTAAGCTAATTAAAATTTTCCATCTATTACATAGTTTCTTTCTGTTTACGAAGTTCTTAAAGCATCAGTTTACAAATCGTTTTAATGTTTAGTAATTTCATGCAAAATTAGTCAACAAAAGATGCGGTTTAGCATTTAAGCGCAGTGGAGCGGAGGCTACACAGTAATTATCTTTTAGATGAAACAACGGGTTTAGGGAGCTTACCTGACCTGATAAGTAGGAAACTTGTAGCTGGTCTCCTGCAGTTAACATGTTCTGCTCTGCAGATTGCTAAGCCGCTGCCACGAATCTGTTTCTTCTCTGGTCTCAGTGGGGAGGAGATGATGGTGTTCATTGATTCTTTCCCGGAATCAGGTACCTTTAAGTTTCTCCATCCATCAAATAACTAGTTATCTAGTGGAAGACATTTGTATGTATTTAAGCAACATAGACTCCTTCTTGTACCCCTGTATTGCTTCCTGCTTTTCTTATTTACTGCTCTCAGTATGTATTTAACTACTGAATTACCGTTCTCTGTTTGAAGACATTCGTCATGTCCATTTCCATACTGGCGTAACGGTGTTACCCTTTTGATATACAGGACTCGAACCAGCCATTTTTGCAGCTCTTGTTCCCAACAGTGCCGATAAACCATTGGCGGAGTTGATAGAAGAGATCGTGGGGGACCATGAAATGCTAGTGAGTCTATTTTCTTGCCCCATTCCTAAATATACGAAAATCATCGGTCTTTCATTTAACCGGCAATACATTTTTATCTCCACGCAGACTGCGAAAGAAAAGGAAAATGCATAGGCTATGCGGATTCGACCATTCAAGATTCAGTTTTGTTTTTGCGCTTGAAATTTGCTTCTAGTTTATGCAATGTTTACATTAGAGAGGTAATGTAATCTTCAAAGTTATTGGAATTCTCGGTAGGGGTTTGTAGCTCAAGCAATTATGAGTATTTACCCTGCACCCGAAGTCCTAGGTTCGATTCCCCCCACTCCATTATCGCTTGTAGAAAGAAAGTCATTGGAATTCTCACAATTATATTGACTCCATAGAAACCCTCTTGGTATAAATCAGGCCACTCCCCTAACGTGAACGAGAAGTCATTTGATTTCGCTACCGACCAAATTTGTGATCAGATATGCAGAGAACAGAAAATTCAACCTGAACTTGCCTCATTATAAGTTTCTTGCTCCTTTTATTTGTCCGAGATCACGTAGCTTAAACAAATTTAATAGAAAAGAAAATTGAAGCATTTATTGTTGACAAAGGGCTGGTTTGGTATTGTTGTGCTTTGAAAAAAAACTATTTCTGCTATACTGGGAGAATAAACTCATTTTTGCTACTTCACATTTTCAGCTCTCTTTTTTTCACCCAAAACTGTGAAAATAAGCTATTTTTTAGTGTTTACCAAACACCTTTTTTAGCTTAACTTTTTTTGATACCTACTTTTTATAAACGCTACCAAACCAATGCGAATTCAGCCCAAGTTCACTCATAAATCATCGTGGCAACTTTATGTCCACCACTCTATTTCGATTGTATTACCGTTGAAGAAATAGAGCATAAGCACTCATAAATCTTCAATGTGGCAACGATAGCGGCGCCAACAGCAGTGGTGGTGACACCAGCGGCAATGGTGAGGGTATGATGGTGGTGCCAATTCTAGCGTGTGGTTGTTGGGGGTATAGAGGTAGCAATGATGGCAGCGGTGGCCGTGACGACAACAATGGTGATGGCAGAATTAGTTCTGCATTCCAAATTATATCTTTTTATATTTTAAATGAAATTTCAGGGTGTCCCTGCATACAAAACGGGTATAAATACACAACCCTACAAATCAAAGAGAAATGGAAACTGTAACCATACAAACCTTCTTATACAACTATATAAATGAGTGATAAAAATTAAAAAGCTATGGCATAACACAAGAGGAAGCATTTCCGTTGCAAGTGCCGAAGCGATCCAAACTATCAGCATAACACGCCCCGACCCTGAGGTCCTAGGGACATCGAGATGGTCACGTGCTAGCCGACACCCGAAGGGTGACGAAAGCCATTTAAACAAAAACTGAGAAAATAATCTAAAGTACGCAATAAAGGCTAAATACACAAATCTCCATGCGGCATTTGTACAAGCATATCATAGCCAAGCGGTGTAGGTTGCGAATTTAGATTCGGTGCAAATAAGGAAGACACACATGAAAAAGTAGCGCCTGGATCAATTAGGACTCTCGCCCAATTACCACAAATAAGTAACGTACCAGTAATAACTTGAGGGTCCTGATTAGCCTCCTACTGAGTCATGGAGTTGATACGTCCATGGAACTGGGATCCTACTCCACCGTTACGGCCACCTCAAGCCCTAAAACCTTGGTTGTTACGGCCTGCTCGATTTCCTTGAGGGCGGCTACCTGAAGCTGTACTAAACTGTTGTGGCTGCCGCTGAGTGGAAAATTGAATATTTTGGCTTCCACTCCCACTGTCACTTCGAGTATAATTGCCGCCATAACTGGAGCTCAGGTTACTCCCTCCACTATAACTCGGCACGGATGCATAACTCTCAGCAGGTCGTTCAGACGGGCAATACCTAGCAATATGTCCCGTGCCTCCACACCTGTGACACGTGATTGGTGATCTGAAGTGACTGAAGGATCGTCTCCCAGATTCAATGCCTGAGCCTTCGCTAGAAGAACCTGAACCCTGGCCTTGACGTTTGAAGGAATGAGAATGTCGAGGGCCAGCATAATTAGATGAACTAGTAGCTTCTCTCATGCTCCGAGATCGAAACCCACGACCCCTCTGGTTCTGGTACCGAGGTCGGTCTTGATACCTTGGTGGTCCCTGAAACTGTAACTGCGTCTGCGCCTGTGCCTGCGCCTGAGTCTCCCACCTAGACTGTTCAATTCTCAAGCAAGTCTCAATCATCTCCTCGTAACTCCTGTGCCGTATTGCTGCCACTGGTTCACGATATTCAGGATTCAAGCAAATCAGTAACTGGACCATCATTTCACCTGGGTTTCCATAAGTCCATGCATGATGTCTCAACAGGTGCCGAAAAATACTGTCCACCTCTATGATAGTCAGATCGCCTTGGCGAAACTCCAGGAATTGTAGTCTCATCCTCAACTGATAACTGGGACTCAAGAAATAATCGCTGAAAGTCCTCCGGAATTTAACCCAATTCATTGGATTATTAGGTGGACGAGAATTCTTCACTTTTTCCACCAACACCTAGCATCCTCTTTTAGAAAATAAGTTGCAGTATCCACCAATTCACCTGGCAGGCATCTCATACTCTCCAGAGTGTCCTCCACCTGTTCTAGCCATTCTTCAGCCTCCGGACAAGCCTCAACTACATGAAGATCTAGAATACCATGACTGCGAGCAATCTCAATGTAAGTGCGATTCGATCTATTACCACCAGTAAAAGCATTTCGTATGGCATTAGTCAGTTGTTGGATTCCTCCCCCTACACCAGAACGGGTTCGATGAGGCACATTCCTACCAGTGGGGTCCATAATTCTGAAAAAGGCAAGAAAGATTTAGAACAACTAGAGATTAAGAATGCAGTGGAAATTATGACTACCAAATGGTGGAATGAAATCCTATGTATGCTCTGAACTAACCATGCTCTGATACCAATCACGTGTCACAGGTGTGGAGGCACGAGACATATTGCCAGATATTGCCCATCTGAACGACCTGTAGAGAGTTATGCATCCACGCCGAGTTATAGTGGAGGGAGTAACCCGAGCTCCAGTTATGGCGGCAATTATACTCGAAGTGACAGCGGGAATGGAAGCCAAAATACTCAATTTTCCACTCAGCGGCAGCCACAACAGTTTAGTACAGCTTCAGGTAGCCGCCCTCAAGGAAATCGAGCAGGCCGTCACAACCAAGGTTTTAGGGCTCGAGGTGGCCATAACGGTGGAGCAGGACCCCAGTTCCATGGACGTATAACGCCATGACTCAGCAGAAGGCTGATCAGGACCCTCAAGTTATTACTGGTACGTTACTTATTTGTGGTAATTGGGCGAGAGTCCTAATTGATCCAGACGCTACTTTTTCATTTGTGTCTTCCTCATTTGCCCCGAATCTAAATTCGCAACCTACACCACTTGGCTATGATATGCTTGTACAAATGCCGCATGGAGATTTGTGTATTTAGCCTTTATTACGTACTTTAGATTATTTTCTTAGTTTTTGTTTAAATTAAATGGCTTTCGTCACGCTTCGGGTGTCGGCCGGCATGTGACCATCTCGATGTCCCTAGGACCTCGGGGTCGGGGCGTGTCACAGCAACTCGACCGCATTGCAAATCAGCTATGATCAATTTGATACGATGATGAATGTTTCGCCTATCTCCTGCAAAAAGCATTAGAACCCGTATGAACATGAGAACCTTGGTGTTTAAGAGGCTAGCCCTAAACTCCGCAAATCCAATCAAGCATAACAATTTGTCTGTGTTATGCCTTGTGACGCCCTCTCCACCCGGCTAACAAGATGAGGGGGCGGAAAGGGCTTTAAAATACAATGTTTTCTGAAAATAAAAGGTGAAGTCGAATTTTCTCCTAACTCGAATGAAGAGTTCGAATCAACATTTGATTTCATTAGCGACCAATTTCTAATTAGATATGCAGAACACACAACAACTTGAACTATGTCACGGTTTTCTTCTTGTTTTAGGTTGTTCAAGTTTTACATAGCTTCTACCAAAAAGGAAAAACTCTATGATCTAAGAAAACTCACGCACCGGGGAAATGTGGAAACACAATGGATGCTCGAAGCTATGATCAGATCGTACAATGTGGAAATATTATGCCATGACCTCATATGAAAATCAACAAAATGCATTTATTGCATAGCTTTAAGTATTTGTATACAACAAGCAAAGCTATTTGATCATGCTTTTCAAATCAACAAAAATCGAAGCAAACTGCAACGAAATTTATGATCAAATCCCACATAATGTAAAACTGCAACTACATTACTACTCTGTTGCTCAGCTCAACCAGCATCAAATCGACTACTTTTCTCAATCAAAAACAGCACAAACTGAACAAATTATCGAAACATAAATCGAAAAACAAAAAGAACATACCTTGAACGATGCCCCATTTGAAATCCTCCATTTCCAAACAAAACCCACCTCCCAAAACCAGCTGAAACCCTTCACCAAATCACTCAATCTTCATCATCGTTGTCACTCTCATCACTAAAGTAACCAGCTTTCTTCGTAACCTTCTTCCTCTTCTTCTCCTCCGCCTCCTCCGCTGCCAACCGCAACCTCAGATCAGCCCCATCATCCACCACCGACGCCCAATTATCATCCTCAAACTTCTCACCACCACTATCATACTCCTCCTCGTCCACAGCAGCCGCCCCACTGCCATTACCACTACCACCACCACCACCACCGCCACCTCTCTTCACCCGCTTCGGCGGCGGCCGCTCCCTGGGCCCCAGCTGGTTCTTCGGGCACTCGTACGACAAGTGCCCCTCCTCGCCGCACTCATAGCATCGGCTCTTGTCCTTGTACTCCCTCTTCCGAATGAACTCCGTGGCCCGGCCGTTGTCAGCCGCGATGGAGGCGGATAGCTTTCTCCCGTTAAGTATCTTCCCGTGCATCTCACTCGCCGCCGCGGAAGCATCGGTGCGGGACACGAATTGGACGAAGGCGACGCCGCGGCTCTGGCGGGTCTCGCGATTTTTGAGGACGGTGACTCGGGCGATCTTGCCGAAGTGGGAGAAGAGGGTGTGGAGGTCCGAATTGGTGAGGGAGTAGTCGAGGTTGGAGACGTAGAGGGTCGATTTCGATGGTGCTAGGCTTCCTGAGCCGGACCCACTTAGCGGTTTTTGGTTTTTGAGCTTTTCGGTTTTTGGGGCCGAGGAGGCGTAGCGGTAGTAGAAGGTGTCGTCTTCGTCTTCATCGCTGCTGTTCGTCTTCTTCCTCCTCTTCTCCGCCATTGTCGATCTCACTCTCGAAGCTCCCAAATTTCAGTCAGAGCCCTTGTTTTTTCTTTTGTGAAATCCTTTACCAACGCCCTTGAACTATGGATACTTGTTACATTTGGCCCATCAAATTTGTTATTTAGTATTAAGCCCCTTAAATTTGCAATTGATTTCTTTTCCAGTTAATTGTCACCATTATATTTCACTCAGCTCTTCATACTTTTAATGGGCAATCAATAGTCTTCAATTGACAAATGGTTGCAGTTTTGGTCACACTTTTAAAAACTTTCTTGTGATCAAATTTGGTTGTGAGAATGTTTACGTTGCCCTTCATTAATCAAAAAGGAAATAAAAATATAGAGATATCCTAACGACATCCAACGACACTCTTTTTTATCAGTTTAAACCTATTCTGGTTCAATGACTAGGAAAGTGTTTTGTTTTGTTTTGCTCTTGGTGGCGACCCCTTCACAATTGAGTGTTTTGTTTTGCATGTGGTGGTTCAAAAATGAAGGAGACAGTTTCTTGAACTAATAAATGTTGTCAGTGCTATGTTTTGAAATCTGAGTTAGAGGATATAATTTGGTGTCGTTAGCGCGTTGCTATGTTTTTCTTCTTTACTGGTTAATGAAGTTGGGGGGTGTCGTTAGGTATTGTTAGGCCTCACTGCATTTTCTTTTCCTTTTTGATTAATGAAGGGCGATGTGGAGTTTTGAAGTCCAATTTGTTCACAAGAGCAGTTTATCAAAAATGTGATCAAAAGTACAACTATTTGTCAAAAATTCATTGAAATAAGAAGATCACTTGTATGAAAAAAAAAAAAAACAACAACAACAACATAATAGACACAAACGATGTGTATTTCACAGATTTAAATCTCATCCAGATTCAAATTGTGAGAATCCTAGAGATACTCACATCTTATCCATTCATTATGCATTGTGCAGTAAAAAATCAATTAATTTTTTATTTAAAATTAAATATAAATGGTACCTGACGAAAACTGACTGTACATCTTATTCATTTATTATACATCGTGCAGTAAAAAATATTTAATTTTTTATTTAAAATTAAATATAAATGGTACCTGACGAAAACTGACTGTACAATGAACTAGCAAGGATCCCAGTGAATCCGGAGAGGGGATTAGTCCAATTTTCCCCTTTCGTTTTGCCTATATCGGTTAATCCCACGTGGAGAGCACGTGAGATTGTCAAATCCAAAAAAATAAATAAAACAAAAAGGAAAAAGTAGATCGTTTTGAGTGGTGGTTGGGTTATGAATGGACAGATGGAGAGATATCATCATCGGATTTACGGAATTGCTGTCTCCCGAACAAATGTGCAGCTGCGAACAAAGCTTCAGGCGATTCAAAACCAGATTATTCTTCTGCAATAACACACCACCTCACTAGGGTTTCCTGTGACCTATTACTAAAGGTACCCATGTTTTTTTGCTCATATATCTTTCGTATTTGTTAGTTCTTCAGCTTTCTGTTTGGATAAATCAATGAAAAATCGGATTCTGGGAATTGGGTATTGGATAATTTGTTGCTTCCTGAGATGGGTATTGATTGGAATTTGAAATCTTTAATTTTTGTCTTTTGGGTCAATGGTTTCGTATTTCCGGTATGCGTAATGATTTGGAAGACAGTAGGCAAGTAATTTGATTCGAAATCTGCACGCGAAAGATCGAAAATAATCTGTAAGAAAATTGATGGGGTGGAGTGGAGAATGACTATTTTGGAGTGCCAATCTGCTCCCCAAGAATATCAGGTCGCCGATAAATTTATCAATGCAGGCAGTTGAAATATAAGTTCTTGTTTTACAGTTGAGGTATCATTGACTTGGCGCAAAACCGAGCTCAATGGCATTCTAGGATTCATAAAGCCAACTCCACTTAGTGGAATAAGCTTTGTTGTTGTTTTACAGTTGAGTTCTTTCGACATGTCTTGAACTGCATTTGATTTTTAAACCACAATAGTATAGATTAGTAAAGATGGCTCTCAAGTGCCTTTCGATGTTTAATTTGTGTATCGATTAGTAAAGATGCACGAAGCCACAAAGTGAATCAACGGCATTGATTTATTATTTTCAGGTTTACCATTTAACTTTTCTGACTTTCAATCTTCAATTTTTTGACACAAACAGGATGAACTGCCTTTGGCTATGAGAAGATGCATGAATTCTCCACCGCGGATGGCTTTATGGAGATAACTGAAGGCTTGGGAGAGATGATTAGCTACGTTGCAAACGAACCGTCAGTAGGGCTTTTTTATATTCAGCAGCACGTACAAAATGCAGCGCCCAATCTCGTTAGTCTTAGAAGTAATGTTGTGGAAAAGTCTCGTCAAACAGCTTTGCACACTGAGGATTCAGAGGATTCCATAGCTACGGTGAGATCAATGAAAGAATGTGGGGTCCCCATTGCCGATGAGATGATTAAAGATATAAAGAAATCTCTAGCGCTTATGTCAACAAAGAAGCCGAAGAGAGGTGTAATCCATAAGCAAACATCAGGTTTTCAGATGGGAAGAACAAGCTCTTGGAAGCCAACAAGTTGGGTTCGTAACCCAAGCGATGCCCAACAGGATACTGAAAGCGGTTATTTTTCGAATGTGATCAAATCTGCCAGACAAAAAGCAAGTGGTTTCAAGTGGCCGCAACGTGATCCTGAAGAATTAACACAGACCTCTTATTCTAACCCATCACTATCGGTTGCTTCTGCAAGCACCAGTTCATCTATGCTGCCGGATGTAGAAGCTGAGGAGTTGCCCTTGTCGTGTCCTGTTGCTGACGAACCACAAGAAGAACAAGCTGATGAGAGCTTGTCGACTCCTCCTTTATTACCAATGGCAGAAAACTATGATGAATTCAAGGCTGATAAAGAAAATAAACTAAAGGAGTGGTTGGAAGGAGCTGGTAACCTAGATAATTGCAGAGGAACAAGCGATGCGGCAAGATTTTAGCTTGTCAATGTTACGATACTGAAAGAGCTTTAGCCTGTGCATACTGTCGCGTGTTATTTTCTATGGGTGGTAATGTACACATGGTATTCGATTATTATGTATACTGTAAGAGCTTACGGTATTTGATTATGATGTGTGGATAGAGAATAATGTGGATCGCTATAAGGAATCTTGAATTCCGTCGTGCCAGGAGTTGTATATCCGCTGTGACTCACTCCATCTTGTATCGCAGAAAAACTAATGAAAAAAGCTTGAAAATTTTGAGTTTTAACGATTAGGCTAAAATGAATAGTACTATAATTGACTTTTTAGTGTAAAAATGTAGTTTTTCGTTAAAGTAAACAATACTGAAAGTTTTTTGTTAAAGTTACCCTTGTATCACAGGCTCGTGGCATTGTTGTGCTCTTGAAGGATGTACCGAGTCAAATTCAATGTAAAGCTAATGGATCGAAATGTGAGAGAGTTTTCTTATCAACAATTGTCATCCATGAGATTTGTCACCGTTGAACTGCGAAAGGTTAATAAGAATTCCCGTCCCAAATCCTCAAGAACGTCACGCCCAAAACCTAATTAATCATTCCATTGCTTTAGAAAAATGCTTCTTGCATCTTATCATATAAAATCTTGTCTAAATAGTAGTACAAGGGAAATCGTTAAATCATGATCGGAAATCTGTTTACATTGTTTTGCAGTTCGGCTTAAAAATCTACATTGTAAATCCGCGAAGATTGCTTCCTTCACATATTAACCGAACAAGTTGTGGAACTGGAAAGATCACAACTCAATGTATCATTCCACCAGTCAACAATCACTGGCGTCTCATAATTAAAGCCTCGGCCATGGGCAGCACCCGATTCTGCTCACCGCAATCTGCTTGGCGACAACTGTCAGAAAGTAGGTATAATGGAGGCATTGTCCATGAGGTTCATCTGAAGTCCTAGGACAAACATGTCACCATGATTCTTATCTCCATTCTATTCAGGCTTGTTGAAAGACCGGGACGGAGTTGCTCTTCCTCAATCTTCAACTGGATGCCACATTTCTCTTTAGCCTCAGTGGTAGAGAGCAAGCGGCACAAATTTCTTTACAATTGGGAATGGCAGCAGTGGTTATCCAGCAAAGAACATGCTGAGCAGAATATAGATCTTGCGAGGCTGGTAGCAGAAACTCGGTATAAAGTCTTCATGGTGGACGGCCACTAGTCACGTACTCAAAAGTGAATGGGAACCGTCCCATATATTGGGCAAAAGCGTGTGCACCAGAAGGGCCAACTACCAAGGCCAACGGATATAAATCTCAAAGCTACAAAATGTAAAAATGCTCACTGATATTCCACTTTCGAGGTAAAGAAAATTTGATGATATCTCAACGCTCAACAGAAAAAGTTCATCTAGTCAGTCTTCAACATGTCAGAATCGTTTTGCCCTAACAAAATACGGAAAACAATGTGAGATGTTTATCGGCAGAAAGTATTATTGAATTTGAAAAACTAATGCAGAAGAAAGATACAAATTTAAATGCATTCAACTGAGAAAAAGTAAGAACAAAACTTAAGAAAAGAGAGACAAACTTAAAGATAAGGAAAGAAAAAAGAAATCAAGGACTTTCTTGCACGCCGGCAAAACAAATGGGAAGACAATTCGGTACCACTAAATCGTTTAATATGCATAGAGTGATAAAAATATGTAAAGGACCTCCCCAAGTTTACCTGGACCAAGTGTGCTGGAGGGAGCCTGACTTGTGGTAGTTTCGTCTGACACTTTACCATTAACCAAGTTTGAATTAGCAGAAGGGGCTGACCCATTACCAGCGCGTATTATTTTGGCCCTTCTAGGAAAATAAAGAAAAATAACAAGAGAATAAATTGATAAATTAATCTAGTATAAGAGATTTTTCTTGTGAGAAAAAAGAGACACATGAACTATATCTAAACAACACAAGATTTCAGAACACATACCTGACTAATTTTTTTTTCAAATTGCCAGCTTTCAGCTTTGATGTCCCTACAAAACCACTTTAATTGTTATTCCCATTTCTACAGTCTAATAATTCTCACATTTTTAAGGAAACCATACAGATAAAAAACAGCATTAACCACTCACCGGACTTTAAAGCCAATGAAGTTGAAGCAGGTTTGCGATTACCTCTCTCAGCTTTTATCAAGGCAATTACAGAATCAGCAGTAGGCCCCAATCCTTTTCTCCCCACCAGCTTCACTCCCAGATTTTCACAGAGGTAATTTAACCTCATCTCATCACCCCCTCGCACCTCTCTGAGGTCAAGAGCCTGCTGCCTAGATAACAAGGTGTAAACATGAAGCTGCTGTTGTTGATTGAAATGTGACTGAAGCTGTTGAAAAAGTAACTTATTTGAATGCGGCTGATCAGGGTTTGAACTGTCATGACTCTTCTTTCGAGGCTCATTAAATGTCACTCTTAAAACTGCCGTCGACTTAGGATCAGCATTCCTTCGACCAAAAATAACAGAAAAACTCCCAAATTCTAAATCAGGCTCCCTAAATAAATCTGCAAGGACGGAAGCACAAGAATGGGCGTTCTTTGATGGGTTCCTGTTAATTTTTATCCTCAGGGCTCGAGCATTAGCATAGTGAGCCATATTGGCGGCTTCTCTGAGCCCACTAAGAAAGGCACCATGCATGGTTGCAGGATATCTCCGATTGGTAGCCTCACCAGCAAAGAAAAGTCGTCCATCTCCTACACTTTCTGCTAAAATATCATAATCGTCTCCTGATGCCCCTACTGCAACATTAGAATAAGACCCTAGGCTGAAGGGATCACTTCCCCATCTGGTACAGATTGTTTGGATGGGCTCTGGGACAGTAATTCCTTGTGGTTCATAAATACCTGCATTGATTTATGTCAGCACCTCATAAAAAATAACTTTATAATCAGCAGCCGCCTAATGGTTGAAATTTAGAAACTTGAAAATGCACCACCAATGATACCCAGAATAGTGATTGAGAATAGTCGTGATTAGACATGGCAAAAATCCAGAACCGGGTTTAGTGATTGTCTGTTTATTCCCAAAAAGGGAATTGTTATTAGCACTCCAAAAATCTCATTTGGCACTTCAAACTTTCTATAATTAGAAACAAAAATACACTTGTGAGGAGTGTAGAATGAGATTTTTGAAGTGCTAATAACAATTCCCCCCAAAAATTATATATTCTAACATGTAGATCATTATTTGTTATGACAACTTCTATTCCATAACTAACTGTTGGGTTAACTATCGAACTTGAGGAACTTCATATATGTATGGGAACTACGACTTCTGAACATATCATATGACAAAATTCTTTAAAAATGAAATCATGTTGAAACCATATGTCTTTTTGTAATTTGTAGTCAAATATACGAGAAAATAGCAGCCACTTATGCCAAAAAGTCAAAGCCACAAATCATACAATAAGTTCAAAGAATGAAAGGATTACCCTTGAGAATCTGAATAACCCGGGTCACAGCATCTGTAGGGGGCATGGTCTCAAACTTATGTGCAGCTTCACCTGCTACTAAAGCAATCAAAAGGGGACCGCCAGCAACTGTTGCATAGCTGTAAAACAGGAAGAACTCCCCACGACGGCTTGGATCATCGGAAAGGTGGCCAAAGGTCTCAAGATCTGTGCCCCAAAACACATGAGGAAAAAGCATTGCAACCTTATTCAACAGTCCGAACCCCAACCTCTTTATTCCATCAAGCTTCCTCTGAGGCAACTCTGGATTAAACTTGATGGACCCACTCTTCAAAACCCCAAGTGGAACAGTGCACAAAGCCATATCACCCTTAAAAACCTGGTTGCCAGCAATAACCTGCACTCCATCACTACCATACCTAACGGTATTCACCACTCTCTCATATAAAATCGGCACATTCTCTGCCAAAGCCTGCACCAGCCTTCCATTACCTCCAGGCAAGAAGCAATGGTCCCCTCCCATATCATATGGATCATCTTGGTCCCAAAATGCAAGTGACAGTTTAGATATTAACCCTGCATTTGCATATTCCAAATTTGCAAGATGCCAATTAAACAAGTTTGTCTCCTCAGCATTCACTGCATCCCAGAACGTTTCCAGTGCTGCACCAAGAGACACATCAACTGAAACACCCCCCATTAACTGCCTAAGGGTACTTGCCTTATCTAACAGACGGTTAAAAGCTGCTTCCACCTTCATATCCATATCAGCATCTACAGGCTTCCCATCTAAACTATAAAGCGGGCACTTGTCTCTCACTTTATGAAGCACGTCACCCAACTGGCGTGCAACAATGCCGAGTGGGTTCCCTAATGTGCCAGTTAAAACACTTCCACCTAAATCCGCAGCTGCACTTACCCGAATTCCTCCCTCCATTTTCTTTGTATAAACCCGTCCACCCGCACGCTTCCTGCCTTCTAAAACAGTCACTTTAAACCCAAAACGCATCATTTGCCTGGCAGCAGCCAGACCAGCGAGCCCAGCGCCAATCACAATCACATGTGGTTTACTGGGTTCAGCCGGAATCTTCTCCTTGATAGCCGGAGCAACCCCAAAGTTAATATATCCATGTGAAACTAGATACTTGTAAGTCGAGTCCAAAAGGGAATGGTAATGCTTCGGTATAGAATCAACAAACATCTCTTTAGTGACCCAATTCAACACATTTTCGCGCCATCTAGCAATTATATGGTTTCTAATGAGAATGTAATTGACCTGCTCTATTCCCCCAATTACTCGAATTACCCCGAAATCGATTTCCTCTTCAGTGAGGGAATCAGCAGGAAAACCAGCCGAGAGCGCGATCAGCGCCTCTGCTGTGGAATCCTTATTGATCACAATGATCTCATCGGATATATCAGGCACGGTTCTTGCCGAAGAACTAGGGTTTGCTACATTATGTCTAGTCGAATGAGCTGAAATTGAACTAGAAGAAGAAGCAAGACCGTTACCATTACCGTTCAAAGCCCCGTTGGGAATCAGAGGTAGCTGAAACGACGTCGCGACGCGATGAGGCCTGCCGCGTCTTCGTTTCTTGGGGACCGAGAATGAAAGAAGATGGGCGGAGCTAGGGTTTTCGACAGTGTTTGGGATCGGCCCTGCGATTGAATTAGGGTTCGGGATTGGGTTTTCTGGGGGCACAAAAAGGGCGAAGGGGATCGGAGGGAAGGAAGAAAAATCATCGGGGAATTCGTTTGGTGGATCCATGGCAGTCCGGTCTGGCTGTCGCGGTGGTGGGGGCGGTCAGCTGGAGGTGGTGAAGGAGAACAAAGTTGGACTGTTTGGTTCCAGGGAAAAAATTGAGCACGGTAGTTTTGCCAAAGGGGTTTATCAGTAATTTCAAATTATTTTTCGTCTTATCAGTAAATTTCAAATTGAAATCACATTTTCCTTTTTGGATAAATTTATTACTAATTTGTTTGGGAAATGTCCCTGGTTAATAAAATTCTAAAGAATAAGAGATGTATTCAATTAAGAATTTGAGTGATTTTAATGAATTTATAAATTTATGGATTTTTATGGAGTTTAATTGATTTATAGAGATTTTATGTAAAATTTTGATTCAATTCCCTCGAAATCTCATAGGGAGATGTGAGATTTGTGGATGCTTAAAATACACTACGAAATCTCTCCAATTCTCTCTAATTCCTCAACTTTATCAAATTCTTTAAAATCAATTTCTAATTAAATACACCTGTAATGTTATAAACTTCTTTAAAATCATAATTGAATACACCTGAATTTCTAAATATTTTAATAAACTATCTTAAAATTCTAATTAAATACACATTATATTTCAGATAATCACTTAAAATCTTGATTGAATACCCATAGATTCATTAAAATAATTAAAATTCCTCAAAATCCCAATTGAATACACCCTCTAAACAACAGGGTCAAATTAGTCATATTAATAAAAAGTCTTAACCATGCGCCCTATTTTCGATAATTTTTTTCTCATGGCCCTTGGTAATGATGCTTATTACTTTATTTATCATCATTTGATGAGTTTAAGTTTCGAGATTTGTGAAGTAAATAAAACAAATATCAAAATTTAAACTCATTACAAACAAATCAAAATTTAAAACTCATTCAATTATAATAAATAAATTTTTGAAACTTAAAACTCATCTAATTATAATAAATAAGGGTGAACATTATCGCCATTTGAGAGGGATAAGCAAAAATGCACTCCTATTTTCCACCACAACAACTCTATGTAACCACGTTGGCTTTCACTTTCAATTTCTTTTGGCCAAATGGTAATGTTGCAACCATGAAAAAAAAAATTGAAAGTTTTGAAAAGATCCCTTGGTTAGTAAAAAGTAAAACAACAAAGTTCGGGGTGTGATATCCACACACATTTTTTTACTTCTCACATGTCCTTTTAATTTTTAGCCTTTGGATTGGATGAATTAAAGAAAATCAACAGACAGAAATTAACAAAGGATGTGTGAGAAGTAAAAAGCAGTGTGTGGATAGCACAACCCTAAAGTTCCAACCAACCAAATTTAAAAAGTTAAACGATTTCGACTTTGTTGATTCAATTCATAGTTGGTAAAATTCGAACCGATATAATACATAAAAAATACGTATGAATATTATTAGATAATTTTGCTACAAAAATACTTTGAAAATTTCAACAATTTATTTAAATTTTTAATATTTATCTTTTTTAATATTATGTTGAAAAATACCAATAGACTAAGTAAATTTGATATGTATTATTAGAAATGTATTAAAATAATGCTTATTAAACGTGAAAAGTACATATTTTTTTTGTCATAAAAACGTGAAAAGTATATATATAAGTGTATAATAGCACACATCATACTATTTGAACTTAAAATATGTATAATTTAACTAATTATTAAAAAACATAAAAAAATGCAAATATTTTTAAAAAAATACTTATTTATGTAATTACATATCATAAGAAAATCTACTATTTGCCCCTAATATATCTAATTGCTTGATATTAAGATCATATTAAACAAGAACATTTTGGTATTTTCACACCAATGATTCCCTTTTATAAAAATAGCTATTTCATTATTTTATCCGTAACAATCCGACCCGTCAATATCCAAATACTCCATATTTAAACTTAACCAAAATAATTAAAAAATAAAAAAGAAACTTGGTTGAAAGCTGCAGGCGCTTTGTTTCATACTTTTCTGTTCAACCTCTCCGTTTCTGGCAAACCACCGATCCAGTTGGCCATTACACACCACCGTCGCATTCCGATCCGCTGCCACGAGCTCCGACCTTCAATACGCCTCCGCCTCCGACGACCCGATCCATATCTAGCTCCCAACTCGACCCAACCCCAAATCCCAGCTCCGAAGCACTCTTCACTCCTCCACTAATCTTCCATTCAATTCACTTCCGTCCGAACACAGTTCTACATCTCCAAGACGACGCCGTTTTCCGTTCAAGATTCAATTACGGACATTGCCGCCTCAATAATCGGTGATCATTTGAATTTTTTCAAAGAAATTTGACTGTTCATTTTTCAATGATTATCGAATTGACATATGTTATTTATTGGTTTGTTGGAAGCTTAGGGTTTTTTATTTCGCGGAATTGCTTTGTTTTTGGAGTTCTTCGTACGGGATCTAGAGGTATCTTTTGTTTCAAATCTTTACCTTCTGTTTGGTTGCTGAGAAAGTTGTGGGGAAATTAAAATTGAAGGGAAAGTTTGAAGTGTTGCGGCTTCGGTTGCGTTTTTAGTTTTTGGGTATTAGAATATTCAACTCAAACTTGCATAGTAAGTTGTCTCGAGCTCAGATGAAGATATTCCACCTCCACCGTCAAGGAGATATTGCATATGCATTTTGGAACTGGAATTTCAGTAATGCCATATTCGGTTGCTCGCAATTTGGCGAAAAATTAGGAAAGAATTTTGAATTGGAAATAATTTTTTTGTTTGTTTTGGTTAATAAAGAGAAATTAAATAGCTTAATTCAACAAAGTATTCTGAAGATGGCTTATTTGAATTTATTGTTCCGTGCTTATTAATTGAATAAACCATGCCCTTTAATTTCAGTTGGGACTGAGTTGTGTGGGAATGAGGTGAGTTTTACAGCCCTGCCGAGGTGAAATCTCACTATGGGACTTTTTGATGGATTGCCCGTGTCTTCAGACAAGGCAGTAAGTTCAAGTCACTTATCTTATTATACCTGTTAATGACTATTTATTGGGTTATGTGCACTGGATATGGAGCTCATATTCCAGTTTTCACATGTGTAATGTATACCTATCGGAATTGAAATATTGTATTCACATCCTATAACAAAGAAGATGACACACAACATCACGAAAGTGAGATTTTATAATTTATATTATTTACAAAAAAATATATACAATGATTGAGGTCAGTTAGAACAATTACTGTTCTTTTGGATAGCTAAGATGATGAATTGGAAAGCCTACTAGATAGTAGTTCCAACTTTTTGTACTCGGAAGAAAATTCATTTTATCTCTGGCAAAAGGGGTTTGGCGCAGATATCTATGGTAGGAATTTTAATGTGTAAAAGGGTTTTGCATAAAGTTAACTTTTGACTATGTGTAGAGTTGGTTCAATTTTCTTTATCCTTGAAATGTCTTCAGAATTCACGACTGTGTTCTTTATTCGATTGTAAATAAAAGACGCATGTTTTAGCTGCTAAAAACTTGGCGTTTTATTTTTCCTTTTGTTGCTGTTGGTGCATATTTCTCATTTCAGAGTTCTAATGAATATATCTGTTTTGAGTCAATACCAAAAAGGTTCTTGCTAAAAATTTGATTGACCAAAATGTGCTGTGTCATCAATTCATGGATGTTTACGGTTTGATATGGGCTTAAATTTATACCTGCTGCATGCTACTTATCAATAACAAAAAGGGATTTACTATATTTTGCAAGTTTGACTTGATCCCAACACTCCTTGCTTTTTTTTTTTTTTTTTTTTTTTTGAGGATGCATTTTAGCTGGACAACACACTGTTTCACTTCATCTTATTTGTTGTGACATTTTTGATCTTTTGTGTATACTTCCTGCACACCCAGTGTCACCTGTTTGGCATATCTTACATAAAATTGGGTAATAAAAAAAATATCGTACAGAATATAAAAGGTGAAAATCCTTATAATTTTCTTCAGTAAAACTGGAGAGGAACAGTTTATCAGTGATTCTAAATTGAAAAATAATATTAGGAAAAAGTGTATGGAATCCACATTAAAATAATTCTGCTTATCAGAAAAAGAGCTGGAGATTTATATATATTCATGCCTTGCATTCTTCATAATGTTACAATATTGGAACAATAACAATACGCTTATGATGTAAAAATCTTTTACGTATGGAGAATTCACTGTAATATCTAGAAGCATGCACCAGCATATGAAAACAATCATTCCATACAGATTTTAAACTTTATCATGCATGATTTGTATGCATAGTGCTTCTTGATGTTACTTTCTCATTTTTCCTTCTTTCATAATGGTAATTTCAGTATCTGAGGGAAGAGATTGCAAAGATAGATGAGAGCTGGGCTGCTGCTCGTTTTGATTCATTACCTCATGTTGTTCATATTTTGACATCCAAAGATCGTGAAGGTGACATCCAGGCTTTGAAGGAGCAAAGTGATGTTGTTGAGGAGGTTGTGGATGAAGTTGTGCATAATTATCACAGTGGCTTCAACAAAGCAATTCAAAATTATTCTCAGGTCTTGTCACCTTTCTTGATCAAAATATTTAATCTATTTGTCCATTTTTTTCTGTAATTTTTTCAATTTCATATATTTTGAGCATCTGCGGTGATAAGAAACTCAATCTTGTAGGTGCTCCAATAATTCATCTGTTTCCTGACAAAACAAATTATTTGTGAAAATATTTTGCTTTGAAAATGCTAGCATTTTAATAGTTTTTTTGTTTCTGATTTTGGGGGAAGTGGAGGGTTGTCATAAACAAGAGTTGACTTTTGCATACTGCTATCTCACTCTACTCAATTCCTTCCAGATCTTGCGGTTGTTCAGCGAATCTACTGAAAGTGTTGGTGTCCTAAAGGTTGATTTGGCTGAAGCAAAGAAGCGTCTCAGTGCCCGTAGTAAACAACTGCATCAGTTATGGTACCGGTCAGTTACTTTGCGTCACATAATATCCCTCTTAGATCAAATTGAGGGCATATCTAAGGTTCGTCATATCTTTTTTTTTTTTTTAATTTATTAATTTTTATATCTTTAGACCATATCGGGCTCAGTAGTGTTGGGATTATTTCATTCAGTCACTAGTATTTGAACTCTTGACCATGAAGTTAGCTTTTTG